GTGTGATTCTTCAGGTTGTCCTGTGCGGGGGCAGGAGATGGACTCGATGTACCTTGTGGGTCCCTTCCAGCTCAGGATATTTTACGTTTCAACGATTCTGCGGTTTCCCCAGGTGAATAGGCAGGTCCCAATCCAACTGCTACAGCAGTGACTTTGAGTCACTTTTTTCATCACTTGTCATTTTTCCAGCTTTGAATACATCCCGTGGGCTGGTTTCTTGAAAGAGACAGCACATCTGTCTTCATTGCTTTCCTTTTCTTTCTTTTTTTTTTTTTTTTTGGAAAAGCAGGAACAATACAACCCCTTCTTCATTGCACCAACTGGTATTGCTAAAGGGTGGAAAAAATTAGGTGCTGGTTTTCTGCTTTTTCTTCCCACCTTTATTAGCTTTAACATGTACTGTGCTTCTCTTCCAGCACAAGCATACCTTGCTAGAGAAAAAGATCTGAGCTCAAACAATCTAGTGTTGATTTTCCGCTCTCTCAAGTACCGGCTGGTCTAATTAGTTTGGAAATGCACCATTTGTTAAAGAAAGATGAGACACAGCCTGACACCTGCTGTATTAATTACTTGCCTCTTTAGCTAATTGTTTGCCCACACTATTAGGTGAGGGAAGTTGTCACCCATGTCTCCATTGGAAGGTGCCAAATAGGAAGGGAGGAAATGGTGCTGTTGGGGAAGAGGTCAGGTTTGGGGATGGTGGAATTTGGGGCCGGTGCTAGTGCTGATTTCTGATTTACACCTCCCCAGAGATGTGAAAAACAGGTGCAGGAGACATCCCAGCATCCACAGAGTGGAGGCTGGAGGGATGGGAAGAGGATCCATTTGGAGAGTGGACTCCTGACTACCATGGACCTTGCTGGGTGACCCTGGGCAGCACATTGCCTCTTCCCACCCCAGTCCCTGTCTGTAAAATCCAGAGGGGATTGTTACATAAAGGCCAGAAATCATTGCTAGTTGTTGTGGGGATGCACGGGGGAAGAATGCAAAGCGTGGAGGCACCTCCTGTGCTGTAGGTCTGAGTGGTTCGTCTCCCCTTGGGGAGTGCCACTGAGGAGCCTACAGAGAGACAGACCCATCTCCTCATAGCTCTGGCTGCTGATTTGGGGCTGAAGCTGTTGCCTGCACTGCCACCAAGCCTGGGGCAGAGAGGCTGGAGGTGTCTGTCACTGCCAGCCCAAGCCATGCTGAGCAGGACCAGATGCAACCTCTCTGCAGGCTCATGGCAGGTGAAGCAAGAGCCCTTGTCCTCTGTGTCCTCACAGACAGAGTGAAACTGTAGCAGCCTGGGACCTAAAGCTGTCCAAAATGGATCTTGAAGACTAGAGCTCCTCAAGGAGGAGAGTGGGGTGGTTTGGTGGGAGCTACTGATGATTCCAACATCCACCTCGCAGTCCCACCTGATGGTGAGGACATTGGGGTTCCCTCACTCCAGTAGACGTTTGTGGCAGGGTTGGAAGGGTGGCAGCATGGAAGTTGTCAGGTCTTTCCCAATTAGTCCCAACTAGATCCCAACTACTGAGTGAAACAACTGGTTATCCCAGTGGGGCTGAGAGATGCCTGTCTGACTTCAAAAGGCACTGTGGGACAGTTCTGTCCCAACTGTGTGCTGGGACAAGGGGTTGCTTCACCTCCCACCTCTGAGATGAGGCCATGCCCAGCAGGATGGCTGGAAGAGGATGGGGAGCAGGACACCCCACAACTGCCCCAGTCCCCTGCCCCAGTCCCAGGATGGCAGACTGGTTGGAGTGGGGGGAGGATCCCCCAGCACAGACCTTGCATGCCTGGGGAACTGAGGGTGGAGTCACAGTGACATCCTGCACCTGTGCCCAGCTTCACTTCTGTGCTGATGGAGAGCTCGGGGCAGCCCAGCCGAGGCCAGGGCTGAGAGCAGGGCTGATTTTGGGGCTGGGGTGAGAGAAGCATAGCCAAGGCTCTGGCAGCAGTTGATGCTGCACAGCTCCTCTACTGTGCCTTCCTCCTCGCCCGCACTCAGCCTCCTCCTGACATCTAGTGGGAGCAGGGCAACACGGCAAAGGGACCCGGAGCCAGCTCCAGCTCCCGGACACACAGGCTGCCAGAGCCACCACAGATCACAGCTGGGCTTCACCAGGGCACAGCTGCTTCTGTAGAGCATTGCTGGGGAGGAATTCAAGGTAAAATTCCTCATGGAGGCAGTTATTAATGGGCTGCTAGGGACCCTACTCTGAGGAATGGGAGCTTTTTAGGGTTATCCGCCATCTCAGACCACGAGCCCTCTCCCTCTCTGCTGCTGCTCTTCCAGGTTCCCAGGGTGCACAGCAGAGCTGGGCAGAGGGAGTTCCCTTCTTATGCTTGGTTTTGGATGGCACCTTTGGGAAGCAGAGGGAAGAGGCAAGTGGGGAGCGAGAGAGAGATCAGAGCTGCCCCAGCAGGACATTCCCTTTCCATCCAGGACCACCCTCATTTTAAAGCCTGTGCATATCTCCCTGGATCATCTCTCATCCCTAATGCCAGCTGCCAGAAGCAAGCCTGCCCCCAGCTCCAAACCCTCTGCCCACAGTTGTAGAGGCAGGACACAGGCAGATGCTCTCCATAGCATTTGGGGGCCAGCCTCCAGGGTCGTCCCACACTGGTCAGCATCTCTACCAGACTGGTCTCTCAGTTTCCATCCTTCCCCAAAGCCTTCAGCTGCACAGACAGGCAGGAGCTTGTCTGTCCTGTCTTTTCACATATTTTCTGCGCACAAAACCACATTATTTTTTCCCTTGTTGCCACCTACCCTTGCTTCACCGCGTTCAGTGTCCACCTTGCTGTCTGCACGGCAGGAGGTCACCTTTCCACGTGTCCCCAAATCTCCTGGTAATGCCCAAGTATCTTTATCAATGAGCAGCTAAACGTTAAACACCAGAAACAAAACAACAACGACAAAAAAAGGTCTTTATTTCAATGACCAGAAAGAAAATTTAATCCCAAGAGCAAAGATACTAATACAAACCACAAAGCACTCCAAGCAAACTGGAGTGATTTGCAGGAATCCCTTCCCAGAGCAGCCAGGTGGACATGTCTCTGGTCCCTGGCTCTTCCCCAGTGTGGACATGGTGCAGAGCCACACTTCTCCCTGCATCCCCCCATGCCACCCCCTTGCTGGAGGGACCCACAGGGAGCACTCACACCTGGGGAACAGGCAACTCAAGGGGTAGGTGAGGGGCTCAGAGTGGGGGTGTCACTGGGTGAGCTCCCATTGGCCCTGCGGAAAAGAAAGGCACTTCTCAAACTTCAGTGTCATCCTGCTACCTGCACACATCTGCCCTGGGACTGTGAGGCACCCCTTCATCACCTACCCCTGCCTATCCCAATCTGACATCCCAGGGATATGGCCCTTTGGGGTAGTCATGGTGCTCCACACACAGCAGCAAAGAGGGGCAGAACACATCTCAAAGGCACAGGAACAAATGCAGCTCTGAGTTGTCCTCAGCTGCCCTGTGCTCACTATGGTTCCTGGGGAGCAAGCCCTCAGCTCCCCCTGACTGTTGCTCCAGGGAGGCACTTTGATGGAGAGGAGGGACAGAGACTTCTCACTCCTGGAGAGAGCAGGAGAGGGAAAGGAGGTGGCCCTGGGCAGGGACTTCTCCGAGGCTATGTCCATAGCTGGGCCCAGTTATGCCCAAAGTCTCCCACCCCAGGCTCAGCACAGCAACACACACAGTAAGAATCACAGCAGCCCCAACCTGATTTTCTTTCCCATACACACATCCAACATTCCTCTGAGGGGGTTGTGGAGCCTTTGAGAAAAGCAGGGATAAAATTCTAGAAGCAATGATAATCCAATGACTAAGTAGATGTTACTCCTAAATCGAACCCGAAGCCACTGAAAATTATGGATGGTAGACAAAAATCCCAAACCTCCAGAATATCCATGGACGAAAGTTGGGTCTGTCCAGATGGATAGTCTTTTCCCTGTGTTTAGAGACAAGCAGCAGCCAAGCACTTGATCCCTTGACAAGGGGCTCATAGCCTCAATCACCAATCCTATCCTCTCTCTGCCCCTCCAGAGATTTGGCTCTCTTAGACTTCACTCTGTGGTTTTTGAGGGATCCCGAACTATTCTGGGTCCCAAGTGCAAGGGTCCAGCCTCAGTTTAGATCCTGATTCTCTCCTGAAGGGGCAGAAAGTTCACGAGAAACACTGAATAGGGGAAAATTGCACTAGTCAAGGAGCAGAAAGTCTCAAAAAGACACTCTCAAACTTAACTCCCTCAGCTCCTTCCAGCCCCCAGGTCCAATCCTGTAACCTGAACCCAGCCAGGCTTGGAACAGCAGCCTTTAGATAGAGGAAAAGCACCAATACTGTCCTATTCCCCCCTCCCATGGCACTTCACAACACTGCAGCCAGCAGTCAGGGAAATGGCTGGCAGTCTCCCAGGGAAAGGGGTTGGGGAGCTCAGCACAGCAAATACAGCACAGCACCAAGAAGAGTGGTGGGAAGGGGATGCCCGGACCTGGGCACATTCGAAGAGAGGCATCAACTCATCATGTGGCCATGGAGGTGGTTAGGAGCAGGACCATGAGTTTCAGATTCTTTAATTTAACCTTTCTTCTTTTCAAATAGAAATTAGGTCAAAGTTGGAAGCAGAGGCAGATCCATCAGCTCCCAAGGCTGCAGGAAGCTGTTGGTACTTCCCTGCCTCCCTAGTGCCACCTCTTCCAAGCCTCTAAACCTGCTGCACGAAGCAGGACCACCTACCAAAACCCCTGTGTTGTCCTTCGAAGTGAAAGAGCCAAAAACTGAAACCATCCTGGCACTCAGTCCTCTGCCCTAAGGAGAATCCTCCTTAGTGAAGAAGCTGCTCAGCAAGTGATTTTGGCTCTGGAGTCACAACCCAGCTCTCCATCCCGGTATCCCCCTTGGCAGTGGCACCAGGCACCTCAGAGAGGTGGCATGGACGGCGTAGTGTCGCTGCCGGCGCAGCCCCGGCCCCGCCGAGCCGGGCAGAGGGTATGCAGCTCATCACCGAGGTCACTTCAGGAGGAGGGGGGGGGCTGTCAAACCACACACAAACCCATGAAGCGACACAAAAGACCCCCCCGGGGCGGGGGTCGGGTGCGGGGTCAGACGCGGCCGCGGGGGCCGCGCTCGGGCAGCAGGGGCCGGGCAGGCGGCTGCTGCAGGAGGGCGGCCAGGATGCGCTGCAGCTGCGTGAGGCGGGCGCGCAGGGACGTGCAGGAGAAGAGGTTCAGCTGGTAGGACGGGTCGAGGGGCAGGATGGAGATGAGCCACCAGCACCACGTCGGGCCATCCGCCGAAGCCTGGTGGGGAGAGAGAGGGAGAGACCCCCACGTCAGGAGCTGCAAGGTAAAGGCATGGATGGGATCCCATCGCTGATGGGAAACGGTTGCTCTTGTCAGGACAGCTTTGGCTAAGGTACTCCTCTGAACGGCCCTTTTGTCTGTCCAAGCTCAAGACTGCTGGACAAACTAATTTAATCTCCAGACAAGCATTCCCCAGGGTGTCTCCAGACACAGATGTAACCGCTAAAAAGTCTATATTAGAGACAATGAAATATCTTGTGCATTTCCTTGTTTAGGGCAATGCTTTTTGTTAACATGGGCCAGATCCTGCATAATCAATGTTTATGGGGCACTGGCCTCACAGAGGTGAGGTGCAGGCCAGGCAAGTGCAGTCACTGGGCACTGCTTTTGTAAACCGGCTCTTTTAAAATTCAAGCCAAATTAAGAGGGGAAAGCTCAATTCAGCTAAAGGGGGGGGAGTCTTTTGTAACTCCTGAGCTCATCATTAATGTGACTGGTGGCCAGGACAGCCCTAGCGTGGGACAAGCCAAAAAGAGCGTATTTGTAACAATCTATATGGAAACACTTTCTTGAAGGACTGAAAATTAAGTTTTGGGATTTGTTTTTTCCTACAGAACTTGAATTTGTCACAGTAATGTAATAAGCAAACAGGATCCTGTCCTCTTAGCTCCTTGCCTCTGGCCAGCCACAGCTGTCTCAAAGGATCACTATGAGAAAGGAGACTGCAGACTCGCTGAGCTGAGGGGTTCATTTCCTTGCCCATTTCTATTTTTTCCAAAGTGTTTTCACATCCAGAAAGTTCAGTTTCTTAGTTCTCATTTAGCAAAAGACTCTGGGAAAGATTTTAAAACTTGGTGCTCAGTTTCCATAAAGTAGCATTGAACAGTTTTACGAGACAAGCCCTGCCGCCCCTCTGAATGAGAGATGCTGTAACAGGTAACAGGGCAGAAAAACTGGATTTCTTTTGTCCATCTTGGAGGGAAGCCAAGTAAGGAAGCAGGGTGGTTAGTGCAGGAACAGCACTGCTTCAGAGGCTCTCTTGGTACCCTCCCTGTTTAGAGAATCCCCTCCCTCTGGGCATTACCTGGATGTCCTCTTCCTTCTCCGGCAGTGGCCCGTGCTGCATCACAATGTGCCTGGAGGTCAGGTCTCCGTGCTCACAGAACCGCTGAGCCAGGCGGTAGGTGCTCTCGTGCAGGCACTGCAGCTCCTGCAGCTCCTCCCCAGCCACCTGCATGGAAGGACGAGGGACACAGGCATCCACAGGGAGGTTCTGTCCCACTGCAGCCCAGGATTTTGCCCGGCCCTGCCCTCACCTTCCTGTCCTCCAGGTACTCGATGTCGGCAGTGTGGTAGCCATCCCTGTGCCCACGGCTCAGCACCCGGAACCGCCGCCGGCCGATGGTGTCCACCAGGGACCTCCCGTCTGCCAGCAGCTCGATCTGCTGGATCTCCAGCATGCAGCCATAGTCAGCAAAACTGGGGGGAGACAGGGAGAGAAAAAAGGGCCTGAGCTGGGACACCAGTGACAAGACCTGCTTGTCCTGAAGGTACCACCTCCAAAGGAGGAAAAGGTCCAAGTCTTGGAGGGGGCAAATTCAGAGATTCCCTCAAATCTGTTCACACAGTCACAGAATGGGTAAGGTTGGAAGGGACCACAGTGGGTCATCTGGTCCAATCTCCCTGCTCAAACAGGGTCATCCCAGAGCACATGGCACAGAATTGCATCCAGTTCTGAAATATTCCCAGGGAGGGAGACTCCACACCCTCTCTGAGCACTCTGTGCCAGTGCATGGTCACCTGTACAGCACAAAAATTCTTCCTCATGTTCAGGTGGAACTTCCTGTGCATTTGTTTCTGCCTGTTGCCCCCTGTCCTATTGCTTGTCACTACTGAACTGTTGAGTTACCACTGGCAGGGAACAGTGAGCACACTGCCTATACTCCCTTGGATTTGCCATATACCAAAATTACTCAGGTCCTCACACTGCCCTGATGTCCAGTGGTTCTGATGACACCACCCCTTTCAGTGATATCTTCCCAAAGCCCAGAAAATGTTATCTATCTCATTCCACTTGAACAGGAGTGGAGTACGGGGAGGATGTGTCATGTAAATACAGGTATTTTACAGAATATTTGGGTTAGATGCCTGGAGATTGAGCCCATCTGAGCTTTGGAGATGCCACCAGGAACATAGGGATGGTCAGCCTGCACCAAACAAAGGCCCATTTAACCCAGTGCCCTCTCAGAGGCTTGTTAAGAGCAAAGTATGAGAAATATGGCAATTTTCAAGTGCTCACTAAGAGGATCTGGAGGTCACAGCCAGCAAACAGCTCAGAGATGTCCTGAGCCAGAAGCTGTTCCAAGAATGTTGTATTTAACAGCCATCACTGGCTCTGCACAGCTCCAGTGCTGGCCTCATTCCTTGCCTGGCTGGTGGTGATGCTGGGAGGCAGCAAGATCCCATTTCACTCTGCTGTGTGGGGAACACAGCACCTTCCTGCTGCTTTTATCCATGAAGTGCCACAGGATAGGAAATATCATCAAACTACGTGGAATTTTAGATATTTGGAGCTGGGGCAGAGAGGAACAAGTCAGCTGGGGCAGAGGGAAGCTGCCTTGCCCAGGAGCTCACCTTTTCCCATTCTCATATATGCACATGCCAAACCTCCTCGTGCCGGTCTCCTGGCACCGCCGGATCATGAGGCGGTAGCGAGGCTCGAAGACGTGCAGAGGGCAGGCGATGCCTGGGAAGGACATGGTGCATACGAAGATGGGGATGTTCTTGGTCAGGCTGAGGGACAGGAGGAGAAACCACTGTGACACCTCCCCAAGCAATTCCCATCCCAGTGTATCAGCTGCTTTCCTGAACTAGATGTGTCCTTTACCCCAAGAAGTGATGGTCTGGCACAGAGCAACACTAAAGCTTCCACTTGGTTCCCCAAGAGCCCAAAGACAGATTCTGGCCACAAAACAGCTCTTTGCAAAGATGGTCATCACCCCCAGGTGCCCCACGGGGCACGTCCACTCAAGCAGCACTGCTGTGATGTGGTCCTGGAGGTGAGACAGGCATTGCCTGAGCAGAACCAAGCCAGAGCAATGGTATGGGGTGTGGACAGCCCCTTCAGAGCCCCTCCCAGCCTCCACATACACACACATCGGAGCAGGTCCCTGCTTACTTGGAGAGCTCTGCCATCTCAGCCCGGTGCAGCTCCTGGCGCTCAGCCAGCTGTGCAGGGAAGGTGGCCAGCATGATGTCCTGCAGCAGCACAGTGGGGCTATACCTTCCAGCCTTCAGGTACTAAAAGAAATTAGATCCAGAAATAGGTTGGAGAAGAGCAGGGAGGAAGCCCTGAGGCCCTGCTGGGCTCTGAAACACACTCACTTTTATTGTAGCTGAGCATAATTTTAGACCGGAGAAAGTCAGGGATAAAAACCTATCAAGGGATGTTGAGCCATCTAACAGGATGGGATGTCAGCTCCACTGAGATCTCTGGACACAGCATAGAGCCAGGGCCCATCCCACACACTGTCCTGTCTCTGACAGTGATGCAGTCCTTGTATGACAACCTAATTTCCCTGATGGTCTCATCCAAATCCCTTTTCATTAAAGATTAAATCAAATCTCCAGGCTAGAAGGTTTTCCATCCATTTCCATTTTTTAAAAGTAATTAGCATTTGCCTCTCTCTCTATCTCTCTCTCTCTCTCCCTCTCTCTCCCTCAGCCCTGTTTACAATCTCACTGAATCACTGTGGCATCTTGTGGAAATGAATCTCTTGGTCTTAATTATCAACTGTCTGGTCATTCCCCTGTGAGTGGAGCTGACACTGCTGTGCCAGGGAGCTGCTAATGTAGGAGCACTGCATCTTCCCACCCCAGTCCTGGGCATGCTGCCAGCAGCCAGAGCTGGTTCCCTGCTCTCCTGTGGGCTCCATCCCGTGGGACACATTCCCTCACCTCTCTCAGGCTCTGTTTGCAGAGGGGGCAGTTGGGCCGGTGGTCCAGGCAGCGTTCGAGGCACTCCTTGCAGAAGGTGTGACCACATGGTGTTGTCACTGGCTCAAAGAACATCCTGCAAAGGATGATCGAAGTCAAAGGATTGCAGAGAGCAACAAAGGGAAAGGAGTACAGATAAATCCAGCTGGGTGCACTCAAAGCTGTCGTTCCCCAGGCCTGGCTCAGCACCCTGCTTTGGACACATTGGCCCAGCTCAGCCCCATGGTGAAGGGGTCCCACAAAGCACTCAGCGACTGCAGGTAGAGCAGATCAGGGTGGGCAGACCTGTGGGCACAGCTTTTGGCTATCCCCAGCCTTGTATCTGCTTCTTCTTTGAATCATCTTACTGTGAGCAAGAGATTTTGCTTCCAGTAGGAATAACATATTTCCCATGTCTCCTCCTACCATTTCAAGGTAGATTTGCTCCCTGCACCAGACTTTTGCACTGAAGACAGTGATGCTGTGGGGATGCAACACCATGGAAAGTGATCTCACACTGTGCCTTCCAATTCCTGGCAGCCCATGGCTCTGCAACTCTCAGTAAAGCTGCACTGGCTGAGCTTTGCTCATAACTTCTCTTAATTAAATATAAAGGTTTCTTACTGGCTTAGTCCTTTAATTAGAAGTCTGGGCTCAGACTGTTGGACTTGCACAATGATGTAAGATGAGAATTGTCCCAGGCCTGAGCACTGTTCCTCATCTCTCCATGGAGTCCCAGCAGACCCCATCAGTACACACATAGCACCCCTTGGTTCTGGTAGGGCTATGGTTCCCCAGACACCCACAGTGGTCTGTAATCCAAACAACAGCAACAGGAAAGTGCCTCCTTCTCCTCTGCTCCAGGAGCAGAGCCAGCAACAAGCACTTGGGTTGCTCACAGGCAGCTCCACAATCAGAAATGAATGAAGGTGTCAGGAAAGCTCTGTTCAGCACAGAGCCCTGACTCCTCCTCAACACTGTTCCTGCTCTCAGAAGAGACCTAAATTCACCTAATTCAGATCAGATCTCTCACACCCCTCCCATGTCATTCCCTCATGCCATGTCCAGACCTGGAAAAAGCTGTCATGCAGAAGACCTTGACCTACTTGCATGTCTGGCAGTGGAACACCAAGCCCTCTGCCAGTACCCACTTGCACAACTGCTCCTGGGACACACCAGGAATAACAGCCTGGTTTCAGCATGCCCTGTGGCAGTGCAACACCCAGCCCTTTCCCAGCCCCAGCCAGCACACAGACACAGGCTCTACCCTGTCCCCTTTTCCACCTCCAGCAGGCATAGAGCTTGGACATGCTTCCCCTCTGGGTTTGCAATATCCCCATCATGGATAATATTTCCCTGGGAAAACACCTTCCTGTCCCAGCCTGCAGGTACAAAGGCCACCACTGCTTTTGGTCTTTGACCCTGCTGAACATTCCCACCTCCACACCTGCCTCCCAAGGGATACAGACCTAATGATGCTGCACCCTGAGACAGGGTAATCTGAGCTCCTCCGGCCTGGCAGAACATGGCATGCCCTGCCTTCCCCTCTTATCTTTTATCTCCACTGAAACCTATGTCTCAGCAGTACTTGGGACTGAGTTTCCTATTAAGATGTGAAGAAAGATGCACACCAGCATAGAAAACCCGGTAGGTGCTAATTCTTCATCCTAAAAGCTCTCCTGACAGAGAACTCACCGTATGCAGAGGGAGCACTCCAAGTCAGATATGCTCAGCAGCTCCCCAAGGCACAGCTGGGGACACTTTGCTGCTGCTGTTTCCTCTCCATTATCTAATGGCAAAAGAGAAGGAAAGAGAAGACAACCCCCATTTCAATATAGAAAAGCAATGTTTGTTTTCTAATCTTCTTCTGAGGCATAACTGTCACACAGAGTGCTCTGAAAATGTCAAAGAAAAAACCATTAAGAAATGCAACATAAACTCCTCTATTAACCCACCCATGTTCACCCATAGCTGGTACATCAGTGGGTCCCATGGTACTTGTTAGAGGAAAGTGGTATCTCCTCCCTTTGCAGGCAGGAAAACTGAGGCACTGGGAGGTGAAGTGGCCTAAGAAGCTCCAGGATGGAAGCCTCTGGAGACCTGCCACAAGTCACCATCATGGCTTTATGTGAACCCAGGTACGTGGTAGCCACCTGGTTGGGTGCTGATGGCAAGTTAATGCCAGTAGAGGTGCTGCTTCCCCAACTCATGACATGCCATGTCCCTCACATGGAATTTAATCTAAATTTCCACCAAAACCCACCTAAACCCATGGGAACCAAAGAAAGCCTCTCCCTGATATGGAACAAAGGATGTCTGGCTTTAGCCACCATCTAGAGCCAAGCTAGAGCCAAAAGTTTGGTATAAGTTCACCAGCTGAACACAAGAAGATTGGATGGATCCTCCCCACAGGCATGAGAAGCAGTGAAAGTGCTGGCCAGAGCTGCCCCATGGGACATCTGCTCACTGAGCTGGAGTGCAGTGAAAACACCAAGTTTTCGGTGCCAAAATGGATTTTAAACAAGCATTATGCATGTGACAACATTCTGGTACCTTTGATAACACTCACCTACCAACTCCTGGCTCTGACTCTCTGCTGAAATCTCCAGTTCTTGCCGTTGTCCCAGCTGGGAAAGGCTGTCTGTCCCCTGGCTGTGCTCAGACACAGCGTCCCCTCTGCCATCTGCCACCTCTCCTTCCTGATCCTAGGTACAGCAAAGATGAAATGCAGCCCAAACCCTCTCGTACCTTTGAATGCACAGCCCCATCTGTCCCACCAAGCCCAATGGCACTGGGAGGCTTTTCAGTGTGTTGCTGTACATTAATATCTTGCATCTGCAGAACAGCAGGAGAGTGTGGCCTTCACACATTCCTGCTCATCACATGGTTAAAACCTGGGTTCACTATGTCCAGACCTACTACCTGCTATTTGGTGTGTCTGAGCCCAGTTTCTCTGATTTTCCTCCTCTCTCCAAACCTGCTAAATTTGTCTATAAAAGGCAAAGAGTAAAATATGAGATTTCCTTAACAGTTGCTAATGACCTGAACTATTCTCAGATGTGGTCTTTAGATAAAAAAAATAAAAACTCACTTTTTTTCTTTTTATTTTTTTTTCTCAATGTAGTGTGACTTGGGTGTTTTAAATACAACGAGAGCCTAAAGTATTTGTAGAATAAAACTGGGAGAGGAATTGAGAAAGAGCTTGCTCTGTTTCCTCAGTCCCCACAGCACCAGCTCTGATGATATATGCTCTCTCACCCTCCACTACCTGCAGATTCTCTCCCCAGCGCACAACCATATGCACAGCCTTCCCTTATCATACCCCCTTTCCCATCACTGGAAAACCCAAAATTGGGATGTCCCAGAAGGACATTAAGTTTCATCACAGACTCAGATCACTGCAGACTCTCACCTGAGCTTGTGTGAAAGATGATGGCAGCACAGGGCTCCCTCCATTGACCTGGGAACCAGCTGAGCTCAGGAGAGCATCACCCTGGTGTGCAGCTGTGAGAGGCTGAGGAGCATTGTCTTGCAGGAGGATCTGCAAGGAGAAAGCAGGGGTCAGGGGATGCTAGGAGAAGGAGGCAGGGAGGTAGGAGAACTGCCAGGCTCCCTCTTTCCCCAAAGCAGCTTCCTGCTCGCTGCAGGATATGTTTGGGTTACTTGTTTCAGTGCTGGCAAAGCACTCAGCTGAGCCCTTCAGAGCACAAGGACATCTCCCTGTGTGATGTGAGGGCACTGGAACCCACCATGGTACATCCCACACACCTTCTCCATCTCTCTCCGAGCAGGGTGGAAATGGGGACTGAGTGTCAGGCAATGTTCCCACACCAGCAGGGCTTCAGCTCTCTGTCCCATCTCCAGAAGCACCTTCCCTTTCCTGAAGAAGGCCTGGAGAGCAGAAAAACCTGTAGTGACTATGAGACAGTGACCAGCTGAGTATGTGCCCCTTCAGTTCCCACGTGAGCCCCAAGGGAATCTCCCTCCAGCCCCTGCCTACTCCCATCCCAAGCCAAAGCATCTGGACATGACCCTGTTCCCATGCTCAGACTTGCCTAAAAAAACACAAGACTCTCCAAAATGCAGCAGTTGCAAAAGCCAGGCTGACAGAGAGCTGGAATCAAAGACAGACATGGTGACAGACCTCTCCCATGAGAGCAACTCAGCACTTGCTGCCTGGATTGGCAACCTAATGGGTCTGTCAAGTATATTTCTGAGCAGAATGAATCCAGTGGCTAGGAGAATTCAGCAAAGATGGAAATTGGTCCCATACAGTAAGATTTGACTCCAAGTTTAGTCAGCTGATGGGTCTCTCCTCCACTCACCTCATGCTCTCCAGGCTCTGCCCTGCACACAGTGTCCAGGTCCTCCAGTGCCTGTGGATATTGCCCCAGTGCCACACACGCCTCTGCCCGGCACAGCCGCAGGGAGCTGGAGTCTGGGGCTGGAAAGAGAAATATTGTCACTTGTGATGAGTCCGTGGGGGGGTAGCAGGGCTGGATAAGGCTGGGGAGACACCCCCAAAGTGGGACAGTCCATGCACTGCTGCCTCACACCGAGCAGAGCCAGGTCCTGCAATGCTCTTCATCAGGAGTCACTGGCCTCATAAGTCTCTGCAACGAAGTTATTTCCCCTAAATATCTAGTTTTAAACTGTTTGAGGCTCTTCCCTTTGTTTTTTCCCCCCATCTTCCTCAAACAGCCTCAGTAAAGAAGCCCCATCCCCACCATGCTGGGATCTGGGCTTTTCTCCATCTTTTTGGGATGCAGCAAAAAGGTTCTACCATACACGTCTTCCCTACGGGGCTGCAGCCACGGGAGGCTCTGCAATGTGATTCACCCAGCAGAGCCACAATAACATGTTACCAAACAAGACTGCAGCTATGGATACCTGAATTCCCAAACCACCAGGGAGCCTCCTGGGCCTACCTGGCTGCCACTGCTCTCTCCCAGGGCAGAGGAGAAGCTGGAGGGGTGTAAGAATCTGCCTCCACTACATGACCTGGGGTTTCCAAGTATCACAGTGCTGGGTGCCCCACATGCTCCAGCCTGCTCCAAAGTAACTGGCAGTGAAATCCTCTTCTTTCCTGCCTTGGAAAACCCCATAAAGACCTTCCTTCCTATCAGCAGTGCCAGCAGGAGAAATGAGTTGGTGGATGTCAGGGAGAATGAGCAAGCAGCACCCCAAAAGCCCATAGTCATGGAGTATGGAGTAACCAGGTGTGGTAATGTTTGTGGGTTTAAACTGCAGAGATTTCCAGACCCACCCCATTATATCCCAGCTCATGGAGGTGACCTACCTCCACTGCTCTGCTGGTTTTCCAGCTCAGGGAATGGGTCTGTGCATCCAGCCCTGCATCCCCCCAGCTCTGAGCATCAGGCTACAGCTGCTGAGGGTTGGGGCTGGGGACCTGCTGGGAGCAGCCCTTCTGGGGAGGCCACCAGCGTCATGCAGGTCCCCTCATTGGCTCCCAGTTCCCCATGGGATGATGGTAGGTCCAGCACAGGTAGCATTTGTGGTGGCCCTGCAGGATGCTGGCACTGAAGACAACCTTGTATCACAAATTAGGCACCATTTGCAGGCACCGCTGCTGCATTTACTGTGGCAAAGTGGTGTGGGCAACTCTGCCTTGCATCTCTCAGGTTCAAGCTGGGTCCATGAGCCTGGCTGGCAGCCGATCAGCGATCATCAGGAGACACCGTTGATGATGCCACCTCCTGCGCTTCCAAACCTGGCAGCATTTCCTCCTGGCCTGGTTCAAACACAGTGCTGACACAGCTCTGCCAGCAAACTGCAGGTTGGGACTAGCAGCTCTGTGACAGCCAGGCACAGGAAATATCTGCCCACTTCCCTGTTCACCTCTGCTGCCCTGTGCCCAGGCACCCACCACTTCTTATCACAGAGCAGAGGCAGCTCTGCCATGGCTATTTCCTCCTTGTCCCCCGTGCCCAGCATGGAGCACAGCCAGACTTTGCTCCTGGTTCCACCCTAACCCAGAGAGCAGCAGAGAGCCCAGGCACAGCCACTCCTGCACCAAGGCTGCCCTGGCCACACTGAGCTGTGCAGCAGAACAAAACCTGATCCCTCAGAGCTTGTTTTCATTTAAGATATTAGCTGAGACCTTAGGGCTCAAGTCAGTGGGAACTTTCTGCTCAGTACTCCGTCCCACAAGCATCCAGAGATGAAATATCCCGGCCACTAACAACAGACAGGGATGCAGAAATGGGTACAAAGTCTAGAGGCTTATTTTCCATGTGGGCAAACCCAGTTGAACGCTTGCACAGCAATAAAGTAACTGATTTGGAAAAAAATCCCCAGATGTGTAAAATGGGGCAAGGAATTCTGCATTTCTCTTCTGCTGCAGCTATTTTTGATCTATGATATCATTAGACACCAGGGCCATAAGCCAGCTGGCAGCTGGACAGACTCACCAGCCTCCGTGCTCCAGGCATGTCAGAGGGCCTCCTGTGTTACGTGTTACAGTGCATTTTTCTGTTGTTCACTTAGAAAGAATAAAGATTAAAAGTTGACAGCTTATTTTCACCCAAGCAAAGCAAGCTGGTCTGCAGGCTGGGCTGAGTGGGGCACTGCAAACTGGCCCATCATGCAACACTGAACCACAAAAAAAAACATTCCCATGGGTCAAACGTTTATGAGGGGTTCTGTTTGAAAGGGAAAGGGAGCCCATAAGAAGCTGTGCAGCTGAACGCTGTCTGCAGGAGCTGGAAAACACATCCCGAAAGCACCACCCACGTGGCTGAGCCTGGCAGCACCAGCAAGCACAGGTTCACTGGAGCTGAGGCTGTGACTGCAATTTCCTTATTGCCCTAAGCCAGACTTTCCTGTCCTTCGGGGAACAGAACGTGCGGGGGAAAGCCAGGACAGAGGTTGCAGTATTTCCTCTTTATACCCACAAAGGCTTTTTAAAAAGAGATTGGTACACCCCGGGCAGAAAAAACCTTGGAATAAGGCAAGCAGTACCAGAGAGCTGTGCACGTGCCTTTGTGCTGAAGGACGGGTGTGCAGGGAGAGACGGATGCCTCTGGAGGTTGCATAAAAGGACCTGCTTTCTGCTGCCAACACCAGGATCGACCGGTCGGCTCAGCCCTTCGTCTCCAACCCTGAACCTCTGGCACTTGTCTCGCAGCAGGCGATGAATAAGAGCCTGAGCTGCGGGAGGAGAGCTGACTGCTGTCATAGAAACGCCGCGGAGAAAGGAAGTTCTGCCTTCGTTGCTCCAACCCCCTGCTCCAGAAGCATTGTATAACCCCTTTTATTTAAGTATTACTTTCCAAGAAATCCACTTACAGCCACAGATCACCCCCCCTCACCCTGGGCCCGATCCTGGCCCTGTAGGCAAATGTCTCGCCAGAGCCGGTTGCCAAAGGGGGCCAGGATGGGGGGCTGACCTGCACCATGGGGCTGGCACAGGAGCTCGGCCAAGGCTGTGTCCTCGCCAGGCTCTGGGGCAAGGACGTGTCCATCTCGGACTGGAAAAGTCCCAACCACTTTACATAATGCCCTACACTCCGAGGCAGAGCTCTTCCTCTGACCCTGAAATATTGCCGGGAGGCAAGATGTGAGTATCTGCTGCTCTTTCCCCTCCAAAAGCACGTGGCCGATGGGACACAGGCAGTGAGCCCCGACCACAGCCCTGGCAGCGGGATGAGCAGCGGGGCTTGCCTGGCAGCCCACCGCTCCCATCACCTCGGGACATGCACGGAAAAGGAAGAAATGCCCAGCAGCTGCACTCCCCTCCCATCCCCACCAGCCCTGCCTTACAACACTTCCACCTTCCCAGGTCTTCCAGCTCTGGACTGTGCAGGCTCGGAGTGCCATGAGGTGCTGGGACACAGTGGCCTACATTGGTATCCACCTGCTCGAACAGCCCAACCCGTGCATCCCCGTCTCTGCTGCTGGGTTGGCCCCACGCACCCCACACCCGCACCCCACCACCTGCACTCCCAGCCCCTGAGCCCGGATGGTCCTTACCCAGCTCGACCCCTCTCTGCGCCATCCTCAGCGCCTCCCGCGCGTCCCCGCGGGCCAGGCGGTCCCGGGCGCGCTCCGCCAGCCCGGCCAGGAGCCGCTCCCGCTCCACGCACCGCTCCAGGAGCCCGCACAGCACCACGCTGCTCCTCGCCGCCCCGACGCCCCGCAGCTCCAGCCGCTCCTGGCACAGCGGGCAGCGGGACAGCCCGGCCCCGCCGAGGCACGGCTTGCAGAAGGAGTGACCGCAGGACACGGTCACCGGCTCCCAGAGGAGCAGGAGGCAGGAGGGGCAGCGCAGCAGGTCCAGCCCCACGTCCCCGGCGCCGAGGGGCTGCGGGCTGGGGGGGCCGCTCATGGCAGCGGCCGCAGCCGAGCAGGGCGAGCTGCCCTCAGGGCCGGCGGTGCCCGCACGCTCCGGCCGCCGCCGGGGCCCCGCGCATTGCCCCGCTCCGCCCCGCCCCGCCCAGCTCAGCCCATCCTCCGCGGAGCTCCCGGAGCTCCCGGAGCGGACCGTGCGGCCGGAGGGACCCCCGGGCGGCCCGGCGGGGGAGCTGCCCGGGCGCCATTGGCCGCCGCCGCCCCGCCCCGGCCGCGTTTCGTAACGGAGCCCGCGGTACCGGGGGCGAGGGGCGGCCCCGGGCGGGGCCGTGTGCTCGTGTGCCCGTGCCCACCCCCCGGGCCGGGTCACGGCGGCGTTGGGGGCTCCGGAGCAGCCGCCGTGCGGGGTACAAGCCGGGAGCTGGAGCTGAATGAAGCCTTGTGGAGGGCGGTGGAGAGCTCTGCACCAGCTGGGCACGGGGTCCCGGGGGGCCTGGGGCAATCTGGAGCAGGACCAAGGTGCAGAGTGCTGCGGGGTGTTTTGGAGCACTTTGGAGCCAGCCGTGGTGCGGGCTGCCTGGGTAAATGGGGTGCTGTGGAGCAAGGCTGGGGCACGAGTCCTGGGGGACACAGGGTGCTCTGCGATGGGGACAGGAAGGTGGGATGCTCCAGAGCAGCTGGGCACAGGGTACCTGGGGTCCCTCAGCTGGCTGAGACTCTCCAGAGTGGGAGTGGGGTGCTGGCTGTTGTGGTGCTCCAGAGAAGGGGGGGCTGGTGAGGCTGCAGTGCACCAGGTGTCTCTGCAGACCCCTCCATGGAAACGCATCATCTCAGGATGTTTGAGGGGAGAAAGATGTCCCTCCAACATCTGAGGTGTCTCCCTCAGCTGCTCTACTTATCCAGAATTGAATGAATTCGGATTTTGTATGGGGACAATCCCAGTCCCACTCACGGACCCCCAGGACGGGCTCAGTGTCCCAAGGGAGATGTATCCCACCCCACAGCCATACATCAAAAGGGTCAGCAGCTTTTGCATAGCAGGTGCTAAGAAAAACAGCTGAAATCTGGCAACTGTGGAGCTTAGTAGATCAGACTTTATATAAGGGTGATGCAAATCCCCCAAGGGCTCATTTGTGTGTCCCCACAAACAAGCCAAACCCATGCATGCATTGGAAGGGATGCTCAGGGAGGGGGATCACCAGCAGGACATGAGTGCTGGTGAAACCCATGCCCCACTGAGGGAGTGGCTAGCAGAGGTTTGGGCTGTGGAGCAGGTTTTGTTTCAAAATCTACTGCAATTGCATTAAACAGCTCATGGGTGGTTTTAAAAACTCAACAACTAAGCATTTTATGTGCACTTGGAAGGCTTCGCTGCTTTCTCCGTTATCTTTTCAAGTGATCCCTCCAGACTGGAGAAATCTCGGGTGATGTTTGGCAGCACAGCCCCAAAAACCTGAGTATGGTATTAGGGACAGTGATCACACTAGGACCGTTGAGGGTTTGTCTGGGACTCTGCCCTGAGGGCGATGTTTTCCATATTCCCCATCCACGGAATCAGTCTTTGGTTCCCCTCCAATACGGACCTTCCCCTTCACTTCCCCCAGCAGTTCTACTGAGGGCATTTCTCAGGTGGGCAAGGCTCATTTACACCAGACACTCTCCTCTCATGGTTTAGTTTTCTCTGTGGCTTGTTTTTCCACCAAACCTTGGCTGTTGAATGAAACAAAAGATTGCCACCAGGGAGTCCTCACCATTCTTACCTCCAGGTCACACCTCAAGAAGGGCATGTTCATGGCTCCTGAGCCATGAAATGAGGGTGACTTTAGCTACGGTGGCCAACACTGCAGTGATGTGCTTGAAGAGTGCTCCCATAACCTGTTTGTGTGGCTCAGCCTGGGTGCAGCAGCCCTTTGCCAGGGGCAGCTGGAATCAGGTGAGGAGAATAGCATCTTTCATAACCTCAGCCAGTTCCTCTGGGAGACACCGGGCTGTTCGCCTGGGACCTGCCTCATTCTTTTCCTCACCTCCTGATTCACTCCACAACCATTCTCACGTGTGTGGGCTCTCCAGCGCCTCGTAAGCGGCGAGGACGTGCTGCTGCCTTTGCGTAATACAGTTTAAAATCAATCAACCACAACATGCGAGTCCACTGGAAACCAGGCTTCATTAGCACCAGGGCAAGAACAATTTGTTTTCTTCATTCCACCCAGAGCTGAGCTGGTTCTGAACTCCGAATGCCTTCTCTTCTCGCTGCCGTGTTCATGCTGACTCAGTACATAGCTGCAACAGAAAAAAAAGCTTTAAATGCTTAATGCTAACCATTCTGCTGGCCAGATGAGAACTTCACGTGTTGCATAACAGAGGACAGACCACGCTGTGTTTAGGAAGTATTTGCAAAGCACAACAGGATTTTTTTTTTTTTTTCAGTTTAAAGGTGGGAAACAGCTCAGGTCAGTGCAGGGTGAGGAGTTCCAGGTGTTGCTGCAGGGGAAACCAACTCCTCCTCTGACTCCCAGCCACACATCCACTTGTGCTTCGGCTCCAGTACAGCCTCATTAATGTGGTCCCGACTGTTGAGAGTCCAGCATAGGGGTCAGGGATTTCACACCAGCTGTGTTTGCTCATTTTTAGTGCATAAATATTTACTGCAAGCATTGACACTTGTTTTTGACACACTAGGGATTAAGGAGTGGCTCTGAGGTGACAGCACCTTCCCAGTGCTGCCTTTTTTTGTTCAGAGAGAGGAGGTCTGTGTGCTCCTTAGAGTCTCTTCAAAGGCACCACAAACACTTGTAAACAGGAATAAGAACCCTGAATGTCATGACTCCTTTTCCACACTGCTATACTCACTCTGCCCACCAGCCTCCTCCTGCACCATCGGACCTGAAAGTCCTGTTGCACAGAGGTAAAACAAGCTTCTCCATTTCCAAAGCCAGGGAAGGAGGAAAGCATTGGCATCCCAGCCAGGGAGGAGGAGTGTTGCTATAAGCAAGGGCCATGTGGGATTGACAGTCGCATTTCTAAGTGCCAGGCAGCCTGCTGGGTCATCAGGAAAAGAGCCAGGGCCAAATCCAGTCTCAGCACCTGTGCAAACCCACTCGTGGTTTACTCGTGGCTTACAGGACCCTTTCAGCAGTTCTGCACCTGGATCCTGGCTGTCTGCAAGCCTTGAGAGTTGGCCTAAGGAATTATTTTTACACCTCAGTACGTGCAAATAACATGCAGGGAGTTATGTGCATCATTCCCCTCCCAGCCTGTCAACAAACACATCAGCTTCCTGGAATTTTTGCTTTCTTTACATCGTGGTATTTCTAGATCCAGGATGTTATTCAAGCACCAGGTTTGCCACATGTGGTTCAAAGCCGGTCCTGGGAAGTGAAGCAAAAGGAAGTGGAAGCAGGTGGTGTGGGAGACTCTTTGTCCACAGTCACAGCACATCTTTTATAACAATCACCTTTTCTCTCAGGTCTCTAAGGGGACCTGCTCCATGCCTGGTTTTCTCTTGGCAGAGGCAAGCAGATTGCCACACTGCTGCATGAGCTTTGGGATTTGAGGCCTGCAATGTGCTGACCAGGCACTGGGCAGGGAGCAGTCATATAAATTACATAGTACTGTTCCCAAGTCCTGAAACTGCTGCTTGAGAGGTCAGAGAGGTCCTGACTCTCTCAGTAAGAAGGATCAGATGTAAACAGGGTCAGGGAATTAAGAAAACTTTAGTATTTTTTTCCTTCTGACTCATACAGGCTTTGCCTGAGGCGACATCATTCCTAAAGAAATGAGTTGACTTTCGCATGGATTGGTGGGACCCAGAGCTGCAATGTAATGTTATCTCACTGTTCATGTAACCGGGCTTATGTCTGAACTCCTGGAAACTGGAAAGTCACAGCGGGAGAGTCCAGAGCAGTATCTGACTCATTTTGGTCTCTTGAGCCAAACATCTTGGCAAAGAGGTTGGCAGAACATTATTGCTCAGTCTTGAAAGCATGTCCCACATAAAATGGATGGAGATGTCTTTTTCCACAGCATGGGCAGTCATGTACAAACCACATAACCCTAAGAAAAAAGTACAGGTAAAAGCAAGATCAGAACTGTCCACATTATCCAGGGGGAAGCCCTAGGATGGGTGACAAGACCATGATCTGTGGTGCAGGGTGCTATAAGCTTGCCTTGATGCTTTGCAATTGTTTCATTGGTGTTTCAAGGGCAGCTGTAGGAGATCCCATGGAGGAGTCCAAAGTCAGCATGGCTTGTTCTGCATCACCTAATCCCAGGGTGCAGAAGGACATGAATAACATAACCAAGTGATTAAAGGAGGAACAGTCATAAGGAACCCACTCCCTGAGGACATAATTCCACCTTTACATTGCAGCAAGGTCCACCACTTCCAAGGAGGTTATGTCCACAGGGAGCTGCATCCTAGTGGGCCAGACCTGGAGGCCACATCATCCACTTCATCTCCTGGATGGGGAGAACTGATTTGTGTCAGGTGTTAGTGCAGGGTCAGACAAAAGTTGCCAGCTTCCCAAGCTGCTGTGTGTCCATGTGCCTGACCTGGGATGTGTGGCAGGGGGTGACACCATGGTGGCCCATCACTGGAGCTGGGGACTCACCAGACTGCCCTGCCCCACTCATTCCCCATCCCACGTGGCCTTGGCTCCTTGCCCCAGCCAGAAGCGAGTAAGTGCCGCCTCCCTAATTTCTTCCTTTTTTCACTTTTCCTGTTTAGCTCCCACCCACCTGACAGAGATGCCAGCAGGCCTGGCAGGGACTCAGCACTGCCTTTGCACTTTGCCAGAGGAGGCTGCAAGTGGCAGTGGGTGGGCTCTGCAGGTGGCAGAGCCTGCTCTGCAGGAATGCCTCTGTCCTGCCGTGCTCAGGCCAAGTCCAGGGTCCAGCTTGTCCCACTCATCCCACAACTTAATAGGTCACAGGAGGTGCTACTGGCAGAGGAGCCCAGCTCACCTTTACAGGGCACCAACTGGAAGGAAGTTGGCTGGTGCCAGAGAGGTTGTCTGGGTGCAGGGCAAACATGGACAAGCACTGAAGTCCTGCAGCTGAGCATCCCCTCTATGAATAGTCCCTTCCCCAGTGGCCAAGAGCTGCTGGATTAGTGCTTTCCCAGGCTGCACTG